GGGATCGATTCCATAATTTATATATGCCTTATTCAGTTTTGTCTATACCTACAACTTCGTTGAACATTGTTTGGTACTAGCTTATTGTTTAAATCGTCACACACATAAGGGTTAACACTCTTGGGTTATTTGTGACTTGTCCGGGGATGAGATTTGAACTCGTGACTTTGGCTTGAGAGGAATGGATGTTATCCACTACACCAGGGCCATCCCCTGAAATCTTAGTGGAATTTAAACTTATGGAGCTTAGAGCATATTCAGGGAATTTTGAAGTATGTAGTTGAAATTTTTTCTTAGAAGTTAAAGGATGAGTTACAGTCAATTCGTGCAGGTTCAACAAGTTTCGTTTGTTTATATTAAGGTGAATGTTAATAACTTTCCGTTGATACTGACTCCACACCCGTTCGAACCACATCCAAATTAAAAATGCATCAATACCAACAAGCATTGCAAATTAGCAAAATGGGAAGTATTGAAATTTTGACCATATTCGTAAATACAATATTATTGTATAATTATAATAATTCTACTACTGCAATGACAACTTCAATTCCAAAATTACAAGTTCAGGGAAGTCCCAATGAAGTTCAGGAAAGTCTTGCCATAGTTCAGGGAAGGCTTGCCGAGCTTGAGGGAAGTCCTGAAGAAGTTCAGGGAAGTCCAGCCGAAGTTCAGAGAAGTTCTGCCTAAATTCAGGGAACTTCTGCCGAAATTCAAGGAACTTCCGCCGAAGTTCAGGTAAGCTTTACCGAACTTCAGGGAAGTTCTTCTGAAGTTCAGGGAAGGCCTGCCGAAGTTCAGGGCAGTCCTGCCGAAGTTCAGGGAAGTATTGTGGAACTTCAGAGAAGTTCCTTCAGGGAAGGGCTGCCGAAGTTCAGGGAAGGTCTGCGAAGTTCAGGGAAGGCCTGCGAAGTTCAGGGAAGGCCTGCTGAAGTTCAGGGAATTTCAGCCGAAGCTCTGGGAAGGCCTGCTGAGCTTCTGGAAAATAATCAATTTTTTGTGAAACAATAAAAAAATATTTCATTTATTAATAGCAAAGGTGGATAATTTATGCAATAGTTGAAGATATAGTTCAATTGCTCTATTTATTTTTAAAAATACAAAGATATATCAGAATACCTTCATCAAAAAGACTTAAATTTCCGCAAAATATCCTCAAATGCTTGTGAAACAACTTGTAAAAATTGAGGATCAATTTGTTTAAAAACAAATCCTTTAGCAATGGTAGAGGTGGGTGGTTTCTCAAATAGTTGAATTCATCTAATTATCTATAAAAAATATCCAAATACATAAATCAGAATACCTCCATCAAAAAGGCGTTACACGCGAGCTTGATCATGCTCTCGGTGCTGATGGTTTTTAGGGGCGGGATGTGCAGTCCAGAGACGTTGAATAGAGACACGCATAGACTGAAGCAAGAAAAACCAAACGAACCGTCAAACGCTGAACCAAACGAGCAAAGTAAATAAACATTACTGTTCGCTCAATTCATCCGAAAGGAGTTGTTCTCAATGATGAAAAAAGTGTTTAATTATTTTCACGAAATATCTTATAGCTGTTATTTATTTGTTTATTGTTGATTCAATTAATTTAAACAATTATTAGTGATAAAAACAATTTCGAATCGAAACGTTTCATTTAGTTTTATGGTAATATAAGTGATTGCACTGCAAGCAAAACAGTAAAATATGACAAAAGTTATACTATCATGGGGCGACTGTCATCTCTCGTCTTCTCTTTATTTTTGCAAAATGTTTCCGCGCACTTCATTTTTATTATGTTCCGGTCGAACGTTCAAATTTTCTCAACAGCATTGCGGCACTGTATGAAAGTCATTTGAAGCCACTCGAAGAAACATGGTTGCCAGAGACATGGCCAAAATATCCCTCAAAAACCGTGCTGCTGTTTTGACAGAAATTTTCCTTGTGCGTCTCTATCAACTATCTGGTGCAGTCAAGTAGGCCTACTGAAAATCCATAAATCTAGATAGAGCTGGAATTAGGGCGTAACAGCTTTTGTAAACAATGACTTCTATCAATGATTTCTAGGAATTCAAGGCACGCCCACGCAGAGCAACATAACCATCGGATACGGAAAGTCTTTCCCTATCCGATGAGGATGTTGGTTTGCGTGGGCGAACCTAGAATTTCTAGAAATCATCAAGAGAAGTAATTGTTTACAAAAGCTGTTAGGCCCTAATTTCAGCTCTATCCAGAAATGATATGTTAATGTGTAATGCTCATTGAGTTTGTCATCTCTTTCGTTCTCCCGCTGTTTAAACGGTTGAAGGAGTGTGACGTCAAACTTCGTCATCCATTTTATCAGCCGGAGAACGAAAGAGACGACAAATTTACTGGGCCACACCTGTTTACGCTCATTGATTTTCCCTATGTGAATTTGGTTCCAAACATCAACAAACCATCGTCGCTTATAGCTTTGTTGTCGTTTGGGACCAGTTAAGTGAGGTAGGCAACGATTTTTCGTATTTGACGGTCACCTCCCTTCCCAGGATTTTTCTTACTAATTCATTCATGGATCGTGACTTTTTTTTTGCTTCTCTGTTTTATTGTGCGAGCGTTCCATATGACATTGTTCTTCCTCCCAGAGACTGTTTACGCACAGATACATGCAAAAGCCAGTTGATTGCTCAGGATAGGAATTTGGAATTCAACAGATTGGAATGTTGAATCCAATTCTAGGATTTATCATGCAGGATTTTAATTTCAGATGCTATGCTAGAAGTGCTGATTGATAAGACAACAAAACCGTCACGTAAAAGCCATGAAAAACACAAATGAAAGTCAGCTGGTGCGTTGTGCCCAGGGGGTGCGTTGTATACCATTGTCCCCTATATTATCTTCAGAGGAAATGTTCCTAACAATATTTAGAAACGATCTACGGAAGTAAAAGTAATTGATGAACAAAGTTAGGCTGGACCACTTTGATTATGGCCCTAAAATTGAACTTAGAAAATGGTTTTCAAAAAATGGTTTTCAGAAAATGGTTTTCAGAAAATTTAAACAATGAATCAATCTTGTAAAAATTTCTGAGGATAGCAATACTAGTTTTTTTTTTAATTCAGATTTTTTTTTTCGATTGGGAGTTGCGTTATTTTGCTAAACATTGGTTAAGTGAGTCATTCTGAGCCGATCTACTGTCACCTTCAGTGATTCCTGTATATAATATCCCCAGAGATGGTGCTGTTTCCTTAGTAGACATCGTTGCAATTCAGCATCAAGAGAGAAAATCAATTATTTACAATAATTACAAATAGTAATCAAGAATTCACGTGGCAACGTACAAAAAGATAGTGAATATATATCTTATTTAAAACTGTTACTTTAAAATGTATTTGTTAATTTACAATTAATTCAATAAAACAGTTCATTTGCATACATTTTGCTTTCAACCTTACTACCTAAGTCTAAGCTACTTTTTCTCTCACACAATTCTCTCTCTTTCACGACCAAAATCTCACAACATGCCTTGTATTTTGATGACACACGATTTGTGATTTCCCTCTCACAGACTTCAGAATAGAGTACCTGACACTGAAAAAGTTGTTGGTAAAGCTCTCAATCAATAACTGTGCAACTGCATTTAGAACGATGCCAGTACCATTTTTGCATTATTGTTATTGTGTGGCAAGTACAATCACCCAGAAATTATCCAACTCGAAAAATTCCATAGGCAACTAAGCATGATCATAGTTTGTAGCTGCGCCTTTACCGACTGAGCGAAGGGAGGCCCCGGATCATAATCTATACATATCCCGAATAAACAATGCGGATACAATGTAAAATGGAAAATTTACAGACAACTTTAGATGCCCGTTTAAAAAACTTAACAGTCCTTTGCCAGCAGGTTGATCAGGAATTACTCAAAAGATCTCCAGTTGATCAGGAGTTTCCGTAAAATCTACTGGATATTTTTTTCAAAACTTCAGGTTCATTGTGAATTATTCTGAAGATTTACTAGTTGAGACTGTATAACTGCTAAAGTAAATGCGTACACGCAAACCAAAAATCTATTACAATGAATGTTAGTTCCGTTTCCTATCATCCTCTGTTCATGAACATCGCAACGAATGTTAGAAATTGACCATGCAGGCGATGTAATGGTTTTTTGTCTATTTTATTTCGTGTTCTATCTACGCTTTCGACTATACCAGTGAGCTTGTAGAACAACGCACATTGTAGAACATTGTAGAACGACGTACACACTTGCCTCGAATCTCTCCAGCAGAAAAAGCATACGAAGTCGAGTATGCGAGAAAATGAGCGCTTCATGTTTGCTTTTAGGCTATTCATATTTAGAAGCATGAAGAGAGCAGTGGCGAAAGCACAGGTCTGATAATCGGAACGTTCGTGGTTCGAATCCAGTCCGCAATCAGTTTCCTATTTTTTTCGACATAACTAATTTACCTCACTAATACACTCTACATTTTTCGGTCTCCAATTTTCTTGCATTGGACCGCAGCTAGGTATATCGCATCCTCGGTTCATGCAGTCTCCACTAACATCCTCTGATGATGAATCACACATAATTTTAAGCGAATCTTACATCCCCCGGTTGGGTGTAGTCATTAAAGGAACGGTATTACCAAGCCGGAAGTGGCAGGTTCGATTCCCGATTCGGTTGAATGTTTCGGGTTGAACATTTCTCGACTTCGCTGAGCATATAATATTACTGTGCTTACCTCACAATATACAAATTCATACATGGATTGGCATAGAAAGCTCTCAATTGATAACTGTAGAAGAGCATCTAGAACACTAAGTTGTGAGCCAGCGGAAGCATCCTTACAGAAGCAATAAACGCCTAGACGGAAGATGAGAACTGACAACTGATAAAATTGACAGTGACCCTGGACAATGACTAGCAACTAATGATGTCTATTTTCCTAAAGCATCAACACGCAAAGAATACTGAGGACATTTAAAAAATCACTATCAAGCACTATCAATCTAAAAATTCCACGATCCCTCATCCCATTCTAGCAAACCCAAAACCGACGATTCGAGTGACGGTGGCAAAATTTCGGACACGGAAGTTCGCAAACGCCGCGAGCGCATCGAACGCTATCAATCGGAACGCAGCAAAGATGACGACTCAAAATCATCCCATCTTCAAGTGAATCTGTCTCGTTTCAACGAAGAACGGCGAAAGTTTGAACTGGAAAAACTCAAATTTCTCCAGGAGAAACGGGAACTAGACCGAATGAGGCTGAGACGGTTCGATAAGTACCGCGAGGAACTGTTGGAAGAACAGCGACAGAAGCTTCACGAAGATCTGCGGAATCGTGAACGAGAGGAACGCTCCAAGAGTATCGAAGCACCGATCTTGCCTCCAGTGCCACCAACACGATCCAAAACGCCTGTCTCGCCGGGGGCGTCCAGAAAGAAGATTTTGATTATTCCAAAGACATCCAGTCGGTCGGCATCGAGTAGCGAAGAAGAAGGTAATAACACGAGTGATGAAGAAAAGACAGCGACCATCAGGAGGAGGTTTTCCCCTCGAAAACCGAAGAGGCTAAGATCGACAAAAACCGAGTTGAAGCTATCCAAAACTCCGGAACTAGCTACATCTCCGGAGCCTGAGTCAGAGCTTCCATCAGATTTCCCACCCGAACCGGAACTAGCTGAATTGGAACCAGTTGCACCGGTAGAGGTGGGGCCGTCTGCCGTTCCTGAACAAAAGGTAGAAGAAGAGATGGTGCTGACCCAAAGGAAGGTGGTGAGAAAGGAGGATGGTGAATCAGACGAAAAGAAGATGGAAAAGGAGAAGGATAGCGAGGAGAAAGATTCGAACGAAAAGAAGGATGATGTGTTGGTTGCAGAGGACAAGAAGGTTGAGGGACCTAAAGAGAAAAAACGTAGACGAGCACTACTAGTCTATGTTGAAAAGGAGGATGATTCGTTCAGCTGGATGGAAATTTTGGCTGAGTTGAAAGACTTTTGGTTAGACTTCCTGGATGATAATCCACGGGAAATTCGTAGGATTAGGTTGCAGGCTAATGAATGTGCCTTCTATTTTGGTGTTATGGTAGTACTATGTGGTGTCGGAGGGGTTATCTTCCGAGTTACCGAGGGAACCTTCGAATCGCAGTACAAATGCGGTGTTAAGCGAGTTAAACGAGACTTCATTGATCAGTTGTGGGTTTCCAGCCACAGTCAAAGGTATTGTTTGGTGCCACTGTTTTTTTTTCTAGGCATATTTGTAAAATAAAATTGAATCTTTCAAAGGGAGGAAGACTGGAAGCAAACCGCTAGAGCAAGACTAAGGAAATTTGAGGAAGAACTGCATGTTGCATTCGAAGCAGGCATGAAAACCTACAGTGGCAATACGGCGTGGAACTTTGTCAACGGTGTGATTTATTCACTGACTGTGGTGTCAACAATTGGTAATCTTACTGTTCCAACAAGTTTGAGCTTTTTCCAGTGAACCATTGCACGCTACACAAAAACTAGTTAGTAGTATTCTCGTTTTTCTAATACAGCTTTCATCCACTTCATTTCAGGATATGGCCACATAACACCATCTACGACGACGGGTCGAGCGCTGACGATAATATACGCTATTATCGGTATTCCCATATTTCTTATTGTTCTAGCTGATTTTGGCAAGCTATTCACGAGAGGAATCAAGTTCTTATGGTCTTACGTGAGACGATTATACTACACGGGTTCAATTCGGAAAGTGCGGAAAACGTCCCAAGTGAAGGTAATTTCTATGAACAGATGTTTTGATACTTATACCTAACATTTTCAACCAATCTATAGGAGGTTATGAAAGGGCTCAACGTAGTTTATGATATGGTTCGTCGTCCCAGTGGCGATCATGAACTACAGCCTACCAATATACAAGCCACTGAACAACCCCAGCCTTCCACCTCGGCGGAAGCTCCTCCAACGTGTGAATCACCTGCCACTCCGGTCATGGAAACATTCGAAATCGACGATGAATTCAATCTTCCAATTTCCATTGCAATTTTTATCCTGGCAGCTTACATGCTCTTCGGAGCCACCATTTACTACACCTGGGAAAATTGGTCTTTCTTCGAGGCATTCTACTTTGTGTTCATATCCATCTCAACCATCGGGTTTGGTGACTTTGTTCCTCAACATCCCATCTACATGATGTGCAGCATCCTGTATCTAATATTCGGCCTTGCTCTCACTTCAATGTGCATCAACGTTGTTCAACTGAAAATTAGCGACAGCTTCCGACATGCCAGCGCCAAAATCGGTGCCACAATTGGCCTTCAGATGGCAGAAGCAGCTTCCCTACAGCAATCTCAATCCCAATCTCATATGCAAACTCCAGTGGAATTGTCCGGTGTCCATACCAGCACCCCAACCAGCGCAAATGGATTTCAGCAAGCACCCCCACCACCGACTAATTTAAATGGAGATGCCACCATGACACCGGTACTTCCGGATCGACCGAGCAGCACAAACGTCAGTACCAGTAAAAAGAAAGATGACAAGAAACAGTAGTGTAGTTAGTAACGAATTAGAATGAACACAATGACTGATTTACGAGTGAAAGTTGTGCTAAAACGAAAGTTTTAACGAATGGAACCGCCTTTCGAAGCTAATGGACCTTCTCATTGCTACGCACAATCGCCATATTATTCGATAAGCGCCACGCGAAACTATATGAAAGATAAATTTTACCATATTTATATACAATCAATAGCTTTTAAGATGGAAATGCACCAAAAACAACATATGAATTATACTTTTTCGAACAATTCGCCTTAAGTAGGATAGGATATTTAAGGGTTTCAAATGTTTGCAGATGATAAATCGGATCAATAATACAAAGGTGTGTTTGATAGGAGTTTGTTACATTACATAGAACGGCAGCGTACTAAACCATTAAGTGTACAGCAAACGAAGCTTATACTTTGTTTTATACAATTGTGAATTTCAAGTTATGCTGAATAAAGAAATAATTGCGAAATAATGTTTGATTTTCATGTGTCATCAATTTATTTGATCATTTGGTCACAAGAATATTAGAATAGAACGTTAGGCTGTTGCTTAGTTGAAAGAAAAAGGGTGTATCAGATTTGAAGCAGTCTTCAAGGGATAAGTATTGTTTACCATTATCTCCAAACTTCTAATAATATAATTTTAAACCACAACTAACATTTGTTAAGCGATAATACTTACACTAGGGTGGATCTTTTATTTTTCATTAAAAAAATCAAAATAAGGTAAACGTACCAATAGTGGAGGTACGTTAGTCAATGCGCTCCTATAGGGCTTATGTAGCTTATGGAACACGTTGCAATAAAGTACCTCCACTATTGTTGCGTTTGCCCTACATGCAATGCATAACTTTTCACGAAAGGAATCTAAAAATAATCCCGAAAATCTTCCGACCATATAAGGGCAAATTTACCTCGGATGGTTCATTTGGTTCGTACTGTGTCCAGTGTTACCGACACCAGGAAGGCAGCTCAAAAAACCTAGACCCTACCTATCGACTCATCAACTCATGAACCGGGGACCAATGGATTTACTTCCCTCATTAATGATTAATAATGTTAACAAATAAATAATAAAATGGAGCAGACTGAATCCGAACCATGAGCGTTGATATTACGGGGCCCATCCCAACTAACATTTTCAGCTTTATAAGCTACAAGCAGAAGCTAGCAAACTAGTTTTGGAGAGCGTTCACTCAACTTTTTCACAACAATTATGTTCGACGTATATCCCGTTCACATTACAGCCTATATCACGTATTTCCAGTGAAAACTAGATGTATGCGTGCCCATTGCAAGACAGCGTATATTACGTGTTATAGGCTGTAATGTGAACGGGGTATTACCTTGTGAAGAACTGGTCCGAAAGTGAGTGGAGAGTTGCTCGTGTGTGTTTATGAAGCGTTGCCATAGAGACCTCCATTTACCGGTATTGAACTGTTGCGCTTTCAACGGGAGGCTGCACACTGATTCGTTAAGCGTAAATTTAAGACCTGCTTACACTAGCGCTAATATATGCCACACAAATTATTCAATTTGTCAGTCGTACTGAATAACAGCAGCGAATAAACGCTAATGTCAGTTCTATGCACATATTAACCAACTTTCAACATGTAGCTGCAAACCAAAGCTGATAAAGTGAATATAGGGTACGTGAGTGAGATAGTAGTGGAGGAACTAAGATAATTTGTTTATTAAAAACTTAATAAACGATGTGCGTATAATTTTTATTCGTCAACCTGTAGTTTCAAATCTGTATTTTGCTAGAAAAATATTACGTCGTAATTAAATTGTATATATTTTTAGAAAACTTGTCTTCCACTAATAGAAACACTGTTCCAGTAGTAGTGGTAATTGCTAAATTTGGTTCCTATAATAGTGAAATGCATTGGTTTCATATGCATTCCACTATTATACACGGTAAAAAGTTGTCATATCTAAACCAAAATTCCTTGCACTTGACTTAGTCTGCCATGTGGCACTATGGATCGAAGTGATTTATCGTTGATTTTCAAGTGATTTGCGTTTAGAAACAAAGCGATTTGTCGTTGAAAAATATGTACTGCATAACACCTTTAAATCAAAATGATTATATAGAACTTCTATTACAAAACATTGTCAAACTAAGTATGTTAAATTACGATAGAAATCGTTCCATTTCGTAGTCATAGTTTTAAGTGATAATCCGATGGAATCTATCAATCATCACATAGAATGAATAAATCTGCTGTTATTGCTATGTTATAAGATGGATCCAATAAACGGTACATGTCGATTTGTATCAGTGAAGGACTAAGATGTGTTCCTTATATTACTGAAAAATCCAGATCCCCTAGTTTGAAGTAGTCAGGACTAGGAATCGGTGGTAGATCTTACATCCCGTAACGTACCACGAAAAGGTGATCTACTCACATTACGGGGCAATGAGGGGATACCGGCTAAGGTTATTTTTCATCGATAGCTCATTTTCTAAAATAAAGCAGATTTGTATTTTTCATTTTGACTCCTTTGCACCTATAGTTGCGGTAGTGTTCCTACACGGTAAAAAAAGTGTTCATGTAAAGTGATTTGCTGTTGAATTTTCACTACTTGCCAAACATTGCAATTCGATGTGCAAATCTTTTGGAAGAAATCATATCGAAGCACGATGAAATCAACAGCTAATCACTTCATTTTAGATTGTATTGCACATCGTTGTTGATGTGCAGTACTTTGAACTCGAAATGTCAAATATTAACAATCTATCACTTTAAGTTTAACTAATTTATCCTTGGATTTTATGTTTGCAGAAAATGGGTTTAAATAAATTTATTGTCTTGTTCATACTGCAAGCCTAGTTATATGTTATTTAGAATAAGGCCATAGAACATGTGTCATATTACTACCCAGGTCACATGTTTCCAAGTGACATTGAACAACATTGCATTGCTTGTAGTAAAAGCAAGACGAGCAATAAATTTGATATATGATTTTTTCATAAATATGAATCCTCAGTAGACGTGTTTTTTTTTATCAAAGGCAAGTGTCACTCGAGCCATTCAAATGTTCGTTATTTTATAAATTGCTGTTATGGTTCGAGTGACACTTGCCTTTGATAAAAAAAACACGTCTACTAAGGATTCATATTTATGAAAAAATCATATATCAATGAAACAGTCATCGGTCGTCATTGAAAAGCAATGCAACTTTGTTCTGTCAATCTAATTGACTTTTATTGGTTCTGTTGTCTTGTGAATTTTAGCTAAACGGCCTCTTTTCTGATTTTTATCTTTCAATCTATGAAATAAACACGAAAACTATGTTGGAATGAAACTTCTAGAACAATATGAGGAACATTATGCCGTACACTACACATTTTTATATCATATGGGTGGAAAATTCGTAGAACAAATACTTTAAAATTCTTCACTTTTTAAGATATCTTCGAGCATGAAACTAAGTCAAACTTCAATAAAATCACTTCGAATAGTCAACCTTTGGTTACAAAGTTGATACATAACACATTAAACTTTGCTATGAAAGTTGTTACAGCAGCTTTCGTTGTTTCAGTCTCGAGATACAAATATTGTAAGCCGTAAATTACCTTAAAAACATAAAATTAACTTGAAGCACCTCTAAATCATCACCGATTTTGCTGAAAATTTGCACAGAAGTTCAAATTAACATGACGAACAGTAATCACGGTTGACCCGTTACATTCCGAACATTTCGTTTAAAATGAACAGGTCTATTGTCCATACAAAAAATTTAAAATTTGTATGGGCCGTGGATAATTGTCAACCCCCCACCCCGCCCCCCTAAACTGTCTACGTAGTTTATGGACAGCCCCTAAGATGTATATGAATATTGTCTGATAAATTTCATGGTGAAAAACTGTTGATATGTCATGGGTGGGAACAGACATCTAGAAACTAATGGAAAATCATATAAGTTTGCACTATGAGAAAATTCGTAAAATATACCTGTTTTCATGATGAATATTGCTCACTAAAAGATATATCTTATAAGATAATCATGTATAATTTATTGGAGTTGCTTTTAACGATTTTTGACGTTTGTTGATATGTCGCTTGTAAACAGACATGTAGAAACTATTGGACTGTCATTTAACTTTGCAGTATAGGAAAACATGTATACCTCATTGGAATAGCTTCTTTTGATTTTTGAGGTTTAAAGATTGTAAACAGAGCTATCCCAATCATTATATAGTCATATAGATTTACCTTTTAAGAAATCCCAACAGCAAACATTTGTTTCGGCATGGTTTTCCGGGATGAATATCGCTCCCAATAATAAACATCTTATTGTACATGATTGTTCTTTATAAATTATTGAAATAATTTTCACATTCATGGAAATGATTAGTCGGACTAAATATTGCTAACAACAATGATACTGTATTGAATAATCTTTGTTTATTATTGTTCCATAAGATAAGGGGTTCCGGAAAAGAATGTATTGAGATTGAAAAAAAAATGATTCTACTGCAATATTTACTTTGCAAAGATTCTAATTGTAAGCCTTCTACACGGCTAATTCAGATTCCAGCACTAGTACACGAACCAGTTCCATGAACTCACATAATGTAGTCGTTGTTTTATTGCACACAGGAGCATTAAGAAAGATTTGAATACGTATGCAGTATCACAGCTTTTACTCCGCTCCTTTACAAAGCTGAAGTAACTAGTCGATAAAAGTGATTCATGTGCACTATTATCATGCCTCTACTCAGCGATGTTGTTGTAGAATGGCATGTAGATTTGTTTACATCAGCTCAAAGTGTTGGCGTAGCTAAGTTGGTAGTGTCAAGGTTTGCCAATGCGGTCGTTGCCGGCGCCGGTTGTGTAGTGGTAAGCGTGACTAGTTTCTCACCCCAATGGGTCTGCATTCAATCCCAGCCGAGGTCGGTGGGATTTTTCTGAGGCATACAAATCTCTGGTCACGTCTTCCTTCGGAAAGGAAGTAAGCCGTTGGTCCCGGCCCATGTATGTTAAATAGGTGACATATCCTACGCAGGTGTGGAAGCTGCCTTTCTGCACATTCGATTGCCGTCAATGGACGATTGCCGTCGGAGACGAACCAGCCCAGGGCTCAAAGTCTCGTTAATAAAGGTTAAAAAAAACAAACATGGATGGCAATTGATGTCCGTCGGTGATTGGCACTAGATTGCGGAACAGAGATCGACGTTAAATAAAGGAAAGAAGAAGAAGAAGAAGAATGCGGTCGTCTCGAGTTCGACTCCAAGTTCCGGTGCACGGTAAATAATTTGGTGGTGTTGCTTATAACTAATTTCGACTATTCACAGCAAAATACTCTCAATAAATTTCTCCCACAAAAAAAGTGTGAATAATATTTAACCCGACTTCAAGAGAAAGCTGTGTTGTGATTATTGTATACCCGGGTAAAGATTGAATAAGCGCTTTTCAAGTTCGTACACAGCTAAACAGCAGGATAAAAGCTGTTTAGAAGCGTAAATGGATATGCAATAAGAGCTTGTCCCAACCGTCCCAACAGCCATAAGAT